AAAGTCACAAAATAATTAATCAAATTATATGTTGTAAAATGATAAACGGATATCCAGAAAAAAGAAGAATACATTTCTCTGTAAAAGATAATGAAGTGTTTATCCATTAAAAAAAAAACAACAACAAATAACTCAATTATGTAAACATTTTGTACATTGAGTCGATTTGTAGCATGTAAACAATGAACAATTTCATCCTGCCCAGAATTCATGTTGCTATGACTTAAATACCATGAAGATAATGCAAAAATGAATATCTTGATAAATAATTCAAGATCCATATCATAAAGCTAAAAACTAATTTTATATTTTATTTATTGCATTAGTGACTACCCTTGTATTTAAAATGTTTATTTATATTTTAACTAGTTACTAAATAAAATGAATTCTTATGAAAATTGACTTTTTAAGTGTTTATCTTAATCCATACTATGCTTATTAATAAATGATTGTATGAGTAAATTCCCGTGAAGATATTAACTACCTTCTTTTCATTTATATTGTTTCATTCTGACTGTCTATATTTGTCCGTCACACAGACGCACACCCATATATACATACATATATAGACATGAACATGCATCAATTCAACAGTAAGTATTCGACATACTTCCAATAATGTTGTAACAAAATATTGACGAAAAAATGTATATATTGAGATTATAAAATCGTCTACTTATTTAGAAAGATTGTTATCAAAATGTTTGAATATTTGCTTTAGTCAACTTAGAAGAAATATTAAGTTTTTTATGTGACCAAGTAAAAACAGAATTTTTTATTCGAAAAAACAAACAAAAAGATATCAGATAAGAAGAATCTAATTCAAGAAAATGCTTAGTGATATTCCTTGTTATTGGACTAATCAAAGTAAATAAACTTATTTTCAGTTTGTTACATAATAAGGCGTCAGTTATATAACTCAAGTCTCTTTGATAATAATATGACTGTTTTTTTTAATGAATTAGTCAGTATATACAGAACACGACTGTAACTAATTTTGTGTACAATCAAACAAATATCTTAAACATTGTGAATAAGACAAAATATTTTTTTCTTCTAATTGCTATGTGTTTTATATGATAAGTTTTTGGTGAAGTTCTCAATATTACACTCGTCAACATTGTCAACACTTGTTACATCAAACATATTTGAGGTTTTTCAAAACTATTTCATAATTTAATGTGTTTGAACTCTTTAACTCACAAAACAATTAATTCAGTTGGAATGTTTAGACTCACAAATGCAAATCAGTTCACTATAATGATTCTAGTTGTGACTGATTACTCTTGACAGGCTAGTCTATTTTTACCAGTCCTTGTATTCTCATTAACGGTTTTGTTAAGTTGATCCCTGAGTATGTAATTGGATGACTTTCTCCTTATCTGTTGATTGATTGGATCTATGTTGATATACCGACCAACTGCAGATTGACCAAAGTATAATGCTTTTCGAAATTCCCTATAGCTTTTAAAATTTCTTAAATCCACGATTTTGGAAATTATTTTATTCCAATTTCTATATTAATATAAGCAATAACATACCTCATCGTTTAGTCAAAAATACATGTTTGTGTATATGTGAGTGAAAGAGATATTAGCTTTCTAATAAACTGCATGTCAACTGATTTAAAATAGCTTTGCAATTTGAAAGACAATTAATAAAATAGATCAGAAAATGAGCTTAAATTAAATAATGAATCACTGATCTGTAAAGGTTTAAGTAATAGACTTGTTGATATGAATATTTGAATTGAAATCAATTTTTCTTGCCATATGCGCATCCTCTTCAGATTGCTTCAATACAGCCATTTTATCGCAAGTTTTTATCAAACTCAGATAGTAACTAGAACTGTACATCCTGTTGATGAGTTAACAATTGTATGAAACGTGTATTGTTGATTCCACTGTGTTAGTTACCATTCAACTTTGACGGAAATAAGTAATTTTCAGTTCAAATTGGTTTTGTAATTGCCATTTTATGCTTCACTAATATGCGATCATTAATGGTGTTATATGATAAGGCTAAACCATTTTCTGTTACCTAAAAAAATTATCTACATAAAAAATTACTTTTCAACAATAAGAAACCACTTGTTTCTTAATACTACCATTATATATGAAAAGACAAACAATTTAATTCTATAGAGAATTACATGTAACTTATTGAAAATATAAACAATAATTACACCCTTGAAATGATTTGTTTGTCAATTGATATTATCCTAGTAATTTATAAGAAACAACTGTTGAATTACACTGTATATCTTATTATATTTATAGTGCAGTGACATCATAGTGATTAATTTATTTTAAGAGTATCTATGACAGTATTAATAATACCATTCGCTGAAAATGTAATTGAAACAAAACTAATATTGTAAACAATGTCAAACTTTATTTCTTCCTCTATATCCCTTTTATCCGCCCCCTTTATTCTTTCTCACTCAATATCTATTATATTTTTCTTAGAAATCCCAAATGTAATTTTCGGGTAAGTTGTTATGTTTTAGGATATTTTGCGAGCAGAAAAAAATCAGTTGTGATCAACTGACTTTTTAAAATATATTTTGGTTTATTTTTTTCCAAATGAATAAACATAGATGAAAGAAGTAATAAGATAATGGTTGTTATGTTGATAATGATAGGGACATAATAACAGTTGTAGTAGTAATGATAGTCACAGTAGTTGGGGTGAGGCTAGATAAGGTTGTTATTGTTGATACCAATTTCGAATTTAGTAGGGGAGGACAGAAGAACACAATGAGAAACACAATGAAGAATTGTTTATCAAGAATATTTATTGATAAGTTTTTGTTAGAAAAAAAGTACTTATTTTGTAACCATTTTAGTACCAAGACCAACTAATAAATACACTTATCGATAAATAGTTTAAGTTAATATTGTAAATACAGACAAACAATATGTATATTATGAAATTAATGCTTAGCTGCCTATTTACAATATATATGGATATGAGAACCCTTATAAAATGGAATAGTAATGATTTGTAAACTTGTTACTATAGCACAATATAAAAATAGCATAAAATACATAAAAAACAGTACTGAAATACACGTGTCATACAAATGAAAATTATTGATGTGTATTAGACAAATCCATACATAAATACATACACGCATATACGTATACAGACAAACATTTCTATATACATCTGCACAAATTATGCCTATATAGTAGTTTCGGGCCCAATATACGTACGTATATATGCACATACCCATACGTAAATAGGTCTATATTGTATCTGTTTATATAGTCACAAGACTAAAATAAACAGTGAATAAACAATTGAATAAAAAATAATCTGTCATTGGTGAACATTAAAACAATATTAAATTGTAATATCAGATAAGATAGTATGGTTTACTGGGGTTTTTTCATGCAAGAAAGAAAGTTGATTTCTATATTGTAGTAAATAATGGTAGGATACACATTAAATAGAATTTTACACAATGATTCATTCCTTATATCTCATTGTAGTTTAAATAGTTGTGGAATAATTATTACATTTAAAGGTTTTTTAAAATGAAATAAGACTAACTGGTTTTAATGTGTATGATTAAGTAATCCTAAACTTCTTGCGATAGGTATATTATAAGAGAAACTCTTACTACACAGAAATATAATACAGACGAAAAAGCCTTCTAGAAACCTTCATAATTAATACAAGTTGACCAGTTACGGAAAAAGAATAACGATGATCAATAAATGACCCTGCTTCATACCTAATAATTATGAATATCATCTAGGAATTCACTAAAAATATCTTCATTTGAATAATTATAATCCGTAAATTATATTTATCCTACTATTCTTCTCTAACCCCATGATTATTATGCAACGTCATTTAATATCTAAACTCTCGGAATAATTTTTGACGCAGTCTTTCCTATCATTCTATAGACATATATTTACCATACAACTATAAATACAAATGTGCAGCTTAAGTAAATGATTTCGCCGTAAAATTTCATTTGCTGAACTCTCTTGATTTTTAATTTATATAAAGCAAAATTTTACTCTTCTTTTCTAAGCTTTAGGTTCTAATTATCAGCTTTTTATATTATTATCAACTCAGTAAACATTTTAAGCATGTTTTCAGAATGTCGAAGATTTCTGTCTGTGCGTACATCAAATAATACGTAAGCTTCTAAATTAATATTACTGGTACTTATCTGACAAAGGCATAAATTTTTTTCACAACTTTCAGTCATAGTGTGGTGTATGCTAACCATGTTGACAGAGATAAGTAATATATAACACTAGTTAGAAGTAGAATGTCTGTGAGCAGAAGGTTGAGGAGATTAAAATGAAGAGAAAAGAGAAGGAAACTGAAAGCAATCAAGATAGCAGGAATGAAGGGACAATGAAGCTTGGAAGAGACAAATCAAAGATTTGTAAATGATCTATTTGATGTATGATTTTCACATTTTATTAAACTACTGTGTGACTGTGCATCAACTAATAAATTGGTTCTCCCATCTGAGTTTTCATTCGCTACAATAGGTGCATTCTTATACGTATTTCATATATAAGCATAGTAGATCTTCCGATATTCACATATTTTTGGGATTCACTCTATTAATTTGCCCCTCATGAGTCATCATTACTCAGTCAACTTTCAAATCGATTCCAAAATATACATTTTTCAACAACGTGGTTTTCAAGTTTTTCGGTTTTAAACTAGGTAGAACAAAAATTTTGTATGATTATATGGAGAAAATACTGAATGACTCAAAACTCTTTAGATTATAAGGAATGGAATAATTAATGGGATTTTAAACTATCAACAGTTACAAAAATAAGAGATTTCCTTCAGTATATCCAAATTTGGATATGTCATGATTTATTATGAAATCTAAATCAGAAAAAAAGATCCGTCAAGTTCTATGGTTATTTATATCATCGTAATTTTATTGAATAATAATAATAATAATAATAATAATAATAATAATAATAATAACACGGTTATTCGTTACTCACTTGTCTTTCTGTCAAATGTAGTTTACAAGAAATTTCCCAACGTTTCTGTCTTGTAATATATGCATTGCCCATAAATTCATTTTCTAAAACCATTGTTTGGTAACGCGTATACGGTTTGCGTTTCTTTCTTGACCGTACTTCTAGTTTGAAAGATGTATCATTTATGTCCATTGATAAACAGGAACCGAGATATTTTTTGTCACAGATTAGTTCATATATTGGGAAATGGCAAAAGTGAGAAGAAAAAACAGTATAAATGATGTTTTTACAAATGAAAATTCTTTAAGAGAAAGCTATATATATATATATATATATATATATATATATATATATATATATATATATATATATGTTAGTTTAAGTTTACATAACATAGCAGAACAACTGTGCTTCTTAAATACTTAAACACGATTCAATTCGTATGTTTTTTCTGATAGTTGATAGTGTCTTGAAAGTTGAACAACTTTGTGGTCATTTTATTTCGATGCGTAGAAAAATTATTTTACTGAACATTTGGAATTAAATTTATTCATACACGCAAACTAAAACATTTGTGCAATTGGTTCCTTTCAAAAAATTTAAACAGCGTAAAAACGATATTGTTTGCAGAATATAATGAATTCATTATAATTTTCTAATAGTTGGATTCATGAGTAAATCTGCACTAGTTCATCATTGAAAACCTGAAGGCACTAAACGGCCGTTTCGTCCTAGTATGAAACTCTTTAGAAGTGTGTATCCACAATCCCGTAGACGGGAATCGATCTCAGGACTTTCGATCTTGAACGCAAACGCCTAATCTCTAGACTGGCTGAGGATTATCATACGAGAAAGAAGCGGTAGTTTAGTGCTTCCAGGTTTTCAGTGGTGGTCTAGCTCAAATCGACTCATGAATTCAACTATTAAAATCATTATAATCTCCAAAAATCCTCATGCTAACTATTATAATTTGTTGCTTTCTCTTCAGCTGCATACAAGCTAATATATAGAACTGTCTCCAATTGATAGTATACAGTTAACTTTAATTTTTAAAGGAAAGAAATGCGATGAAAAGACTACTTCATGATCATATAGACATGAACAAAACTAAATTAACTACATAAATTACGAAAAATGCATGAAATAGAATATAATTCAACGCTTTGCAGAAAGTTCGAAGTTAATCACGGCCAAATAAAAAAGCTAATCTCATGCACATAGATTCCGTGATCATCTTGAAGATAACAAGAACAAAAATTTTAGCAAAATAGTACGAATTCATTTTATTACGTTTGGTTCTCGTCAGCTGCTCGCAACCTGTGACAGTTAAAAATCATTATTATTAAAAGGTTTCAATTACTTACATGAATGAGTTTAACTGAAAGTTATGTTAAAGACACATCAGTATAGTCTAACAAGGATGTCAAAAATTTTGATAAACTGAATGAAACATTGTTAATATATACCCTATGTAAGAGAAAATTCCGCAACATTGATTGTAACAGGAGTCTAAATGGTTAGAAACAAGTGAGTACGTATTCAGTAAATGCTGATAATAAGTAAGAATAAAACGAGAAGAGCTTAGTTAATAAAATAAGATTACTAATCTAAAAGACGATCGAAATAAAAAGACGTAATGATGTAATTAAATGAAAGAAATATTTGAAGAATACCATGAATGGATATTTGTCACCAAGACAATGAAATATTAATAACCATCTGCTTTCGAACACATAAATCATGTTTTTGACGTCTGATAGCAAGAGCTTCAGCAGACTTCAGAAGACTGGAGCTTGGCTGTTTATTAGTCACCTTCAAAGATTGCAAGGTATCTGCCTGATGTCCCGTGTTCAAGAGATGTTTAGTAATTTCACTGTTTAAAGTTATTCTTTCACATGTTATAAGGCTTTTTAGAGTACGCTCAAAAAATTTAAGATAGGCCTTTCTTTCTATCCAGCTAATTTAGTTTCTTTGGCAGGTACACGTAAATTTGTAGATACAGTTGGCGGTAATATGAAAGGGGCGCTTGTCAAGTCTATATTGAGTTTTTGAACAAGTTATCTTATACAGAATTATTAGTTTGGCTGACTGATAAGTTCTGGCTAGGGCAATATTTATTGCTACATATATTTACAATATTTTATTTAGTTTATTAAATTTTTCGACATCCTTGTTAGACTATACTGATGTGTCTTCAGTATAACTTCAAACTAAACATTTTCTTGTAAGTAATTGAAACCCATTTAGTAATTATGATTTTTAACAGTCACAGGTTGCGAGCAGCTGATGAGAAACAAACGTAATAAAATAAATTCCTACTATTTATTTTATTTACTTTAACACATAGATATCGGTACAAGAAGGCACCAAATACATATGCGCCACACAGATCTCATTTGATATGTGTGAGGGCTGTGATAGTCCCGGGTTCCCAAACAGAAGCAGGTGCTCTTCTTATGGGGCCATACCCCGAGCCTTCGACCTGAAGATCTGATCCACAAGACAGCGGAGCATCATAAGGAGATGCAGTTTCATGGTAGCCAGTGACCAACGATTGGTTCATACGTCATTTGTTCATTCAGGATACTGGAGCCCATGAGCACCATTGGTTTGGAATCCGGTTAAAGCGCCGGACATTCGCTTTTCGTCCTCTCATTTTCGTAAACAACACCCCCGCCACGAGAAGGCAGCGAGTAGGACTTCCCTGGCAGAGGCTATGTAGGTGTGGCCATGTGAGAGCATTTCGAGAGGGAGAGTGGACTCTCCCCACTCTCGGCCGTACCAGGGCTCTCTTTAAAATAAGACTAACTTGGCATTTATTTCAAATAACTATTACTCATTTAAATTTCAATTCTGAAACGATTTTCACTACCTAAATAAAATTAAACATTGATCACGTTTCAATGGTTGAGATCATGAGTCAATTGAAGCTAGATCACCATGGGAAACCTGGAAGCAGTGAACGGCCGTTTCGTCATGTTGTGTTACTCCTCAACAGTGAGCATCTACGATACCGCCCCCCGCGGGTTTCCAATGCAGGACCTATCAGTCTCGCGCGCGAGTGCTTAACCACTGGACCACTGAGCCGGCATCCAACGGTGTTAATGTCTAGCTGACCAGTGGAGTTCAATCAGGTCTGTTGTGAGGTAGTAACTCACTGATGACAATGGTGGATGTCTTGCTCAATTTCGTGGATTAGTTGGAGTTAGATATTTACACCGTTGGATGCCGGCTCAGTGGTCCAGTAGTTAAGCACTCGCGCGCGAGACTGATAGGTCCTGCATTGGAAACCCGCGGGGGGCGGTATCGTAGATGCTCACTGTTGAGGAGTAACACAACATGACGAAACGGCCGTTCACTGCTTCCAGGTTTCCCATGGTGATCTAGCTTCAAATGACTCATGATCTCAACTATTGAAATTATTTACTTCTTGTCGCTATTTGTGATGAAAATTTTTTATTCAAAGTGAAATCGTTATTTACGTTAGAATTTTGTTGAATAATTTACTTCATTACTGACCTCTTATTAATGACATTTTACTATGTAATATTATGAAATTCACATTTATAAATAATCAGATTTCCTTGTCTAACATCACGAACTATTATTATTACTATTATTGTTATTATAAATATGAGATAAATGTATTTTATCCTAGTCATTCATTCATTAAAATATGTTTCTAAAGTTATTAATGTGAACACTAGACAATTAGGAAACAAACTAATCCTTTTTAAAAAAAAATACAAACTTAATTATTATTTAAAGCACTCAATCATTTAGTTAAATAGTCGTAAACAATATGAAACTAAGTAGATATATACGATTCCCTGAATTTATCACACTTGATCTGAACAAGACCAAATGAACCAAGTATTAAGGAAAAGAGTGAGAATATTATTATCAATTCGTAGTGAATAAATAAAGTTAATGAATGAAACTATATTTTTTTAATAGATAATATCTAGAAGATGATCAACAATAAATCCATCTACACTACTGAGATTAATTTTGAATCATATCATATAGAATATAGTTATTAGATAATCCCAGATCAGAAAGTCTACAGTATAAATCAATATGCGTATTTCAATCAATTCGTTACACACTAAATAAATACTTAATATTGACACCTTCAAATATACACCTTTTTGAATAATAAAATAATATTACTTATATAATTTGCTATAATTCATAAAAATCTCTTTAGTTCTTACTTCCACCTGATGATCTACAATCTGATGGTAGATATTCATCACATACTGTATTAATTCGATCCATTAGATTATTATTAGCATTGTTAATAGAATTATTATTACTATTGGTAATCATATGATTACTGACAAATGAATAAGGAAAATAAGTTGATTGCAAATTTGTTGGTGTTAATGTCCCATCAGTAATTACTGTTGTTTTTGTGGTTGTTGTCATAGTGTCTTTCGTCGTATCTGTTGTTAATAATAATGATGATGAAAACATTGATGACGGTGGTGTTGTTGTTATCGATGGTGACGACGACGATGATGATGACGATGAAATCAAGTTGAATGTTGATAATTTCATTGGTAAATTATTCAAATATGGATTATTCATATGATATCTATTTAGTTGATGCTGTTGTTGTGGCGGTGGTGGTTGATGGGGATGATGATGTTGATGCTGAAGATGAGATGGATGCTGAACATGCTGATGATGTTGTTGATTTTGATGGTGATTGTGATGATGAGGAAAATTAGGAGCACTAGGGGAAATCGGAAAATTATTCATTATACTAGTTTTATTATTCATAGTCTCATACATCAGAGTTAATGGAGTAGGAAATCTTGATAATACACCAGTTGATTGTTGTTGATATAACTGGATTACTGAATTACTGTCACTATCACCACCTCTCTGACCACCATCACCACTAACAACATCATCATCATCATCACTATTACCACTATTATTACCATTACTGTTATGATTATTACTGTTTGTATTAGTATTTATGACAGTATTAGTAGTATTTGTAGAAAAAGTAACGTTTGTCGAACATGTTGTAACAAAATTTATTGGATTTACTGGAAATTGTTCTAAATGCGATTGAATTGAAAACTTAGAATTTTCTAAACCTGTTAACAAATACGGATTTTGTAAATGATATAAATTAAATTTATTTATTTCACATAAATTATTATTATTACTTGAATGATCAGTTATTGATGTTGATAATGTAGGTAGCATAGAATTTACTGTAGTAATACAAGAACTGTTTGAAAGTGTAGAACAAACTGGAAAATTAGCAGATGATAAGTTGGAACATGTATTTGTACTGACTGTCTCTGTAATAGTTGTACATGTGAATGATATAATCGGTATTGATTCATTATGATATAAATCATGCCTATCACAAGTAGGATCATTCATATTGATCATTGAATTCAGTTGATACATTGATGATGATGTGGATGACATTGATGGTGTAACTGATGGGATAGCAGTAGATATTAATGACAATAATGATGATGAGGAGGAGGTGGATGAAGAAGAGGATTTAATTATCAACAATGAATCATTTGTCGACAGATTTACGTTTAATTCCGATTTACAATGAGAATTTAATGACGATTGATTAGTATTATTATAAAAGTTAATATCATTGTTTAATGTATTTGAATATTTAATTCTATTCTCGATAGAATTAGACAACTTAGAATGTTCTATTTCAGAAGGTAAATATTGTTCATTATTAGTATTATTATTTAATTCATGTGCTGTTAACACTGAAGGTGATGGTGTTCTACTTGATATTTTTCTTACTGACTGTTGTAGATTGTTTGATGTTGAAATATTATTAGTTTTCATTGGTTCTTTTATAGTCGAAAATAATCCTATCATGCTTGATGACGATGATGACAAGGATGTTGAACATGTTATATTCGTTGGATGGGATAATGTTGTAGTGGGAAGATTAAAAAATGTAGACTGTACAGAGTCTTTATTTTCATTTAAATATTTATTCAATGATACATGATCATAATAGGTTGTCTCATTATCTTTTTGATTAGTTTTATTAATTTTATTGTTAACAAAAGAGTTTAATGTATTTGATGAAAAATTTTCAGTGTTTGTTAAGACTATTTGTTCATCAGAACAATCAACAGATAGATTTGCTGTAGGCTGTTCATAGCAATTTGATATTAATTCTGAAAGTCGATTATTTGTCAGTAATATAGGTGAAGATTTCGGGGCGTTCATTGCATTATTATTACTATTATTATTAGCAATAGGATGAGGAGGAGGAGATGTAGAAGTAATGCTTGATGCTTTAGTAGTATTCGATGTACAATGAAATATTGACGATGGTAATTTGGGAGAGGACGGATTGGGTGCCGAAAATGTAGATGATGCTTGATAGCTATATTTAATCTTTTCAAGTATAGTATTGTTATTATTATAGTTTCTATTGATTTCCATTTGACATGTTTCTATTTGTTGTGTTGTTGATGGATCATAGAATTCGCATGCTGTTGAACTGGGATTGCATGTATTTAAGTTAGCTTTTTGTGTCATTGTTGTTGGTTGATAATCACACTGTCCTCTACGTAAATCAGTACAATTTGATGAGTCTAATGTAATTGGACCAATAGTCTGAAGTTCCATTCCTTTATTGAACAGTTTGTTGAAATTTGTTTAAATATGCAGTGTACATAAATATTTATCGGTTTACTCAACTATTGGATTTACCCACAGCGTTTTCTTTTTAATTATTCACCTAATAAATCCTTAAATGATGATGCCTAAAATCCAGATCAGTCATTTAATATTATCGATATATTTTTCAGACCGTTACTTCCATGCAGGCTAAGTACAAGTCACTTGCATTACCTCCCTGCGAATTTTACAGAGAAAAGGGTGGATGAAACAACCAATCTAACTGATAGAATATTTATCTTTCTTTCTCGTATAATCCATTGGTTAATTTTGTAATGCGATAACCAATGAAAATCTCTCTTAGTTATCTTGACCCGCCAATATTATTTTTAACCAATCATCTGGTCTATGAAACAGCACATGTGACCTGATATTTTATGTGATAAAAAGGGGGTATTTCTATTATAATTTAAAATTAATATTCAAACAGTTGGCCTGCTTTGTAGAATTAAGGACTGACCAAAATTTATTCACAGTATATTTTGTTTAGTTATTATATAAATATAAATTCAGAAGTCACTGGTAACATTAATAAAGTGAATTCTGAGATTGTTCTGCTTATTGGAAATAGTTACGAAACAGAAAATTATCTGAACTTTACATTCTTTGATGCGTGGTCTATTCAATGAATAATCATACTATCGAAACTGATGATAAAATGTGAAGACATAAGCCTAGGTCACCACTCGGAATTTCTGATAAATGATGAAATCCTTTTGAGTTAGAATAAATATGCATATCATATCTGTTAAATATTTCGAAATTTTAATACTTTTGTGTATATGCACACATGTTAATATATTTGAGTTTGGCACTATCGAATAAGCAAATTAAGAAATCTGTAAGTAAATGGAATGGTTAGTATTTATTACTTGATATTAATGGTCTGTGAATTACAGCATAAACAATTTTTTGCAGAATTTATGGTTTTAAGAAAGAAATGGTAAAAATATTTGTAAAATATATCTGATAGAAATAATCAATTTACACTGCATTTTTTCAGATTCATGCTTCTAACAACTATCGATCAGCATAAAATTTAGGTTTACCGTCTGATGCCGATTGTATTTAAGTACGCAACACATTTTTTTACACTTTGGTAGAACACAGATTTTATTTAGGTCGGTGAATCGGAAAACCATGGGAAATCTGTTACTTTTGACTAAATTTGACTGATTTAACTCCAATCGCAAAGAACAGTGTATATGTGTGTTAAGTTATCACACATAAATATGAATGTAACTTAGAATTATTAGTTAACTAACTCCCTAAAATGACTTGAATGTGTCCACTGCCCTTCAATATTTTACACTAGACACTTTCATATCATTCAGTTAACGTTATACTAATGAGTTAATAAACCAGAAATTACTCAGAAACCTCTGACTTTAGTCAATTTGTAACATAATATGATTGTCTTCAAGAGATATTATCGGTAGGCAACATTCTCGCACACACTTGATTGGCTTCATAGATTATTCCTTCTCACCTAAAAATTGAAGCAATATATCTCTAAAAATATTACTCATTTGTGAGAGTGGCAATTAATAATGATTGACGTGTTTAGTGAGAATCAGTAAATATAAGAAGAAAATTTTTGTCATAACTCTGATTTCAATAAGAACACAATTTATCTGTAATGAATTAATCATTTTATCATTGACTAACTATTGAAAAGTAATAATTGTACTATGTACATGCTACTTTTATCTGTAGATATAAGTAGTATGTGACATTAATCAGAAGTGGAATGCCCGCCAGCAGAAGGTTGAGAAGACTGAATTGAAGAGAACAGCGATATAAACAGAGAGTAATTGTAATAACAGGAATGAAGGAACGATGAAGTTTGTAGGGAACAATTGATGGAAGGTGTGCAAATGATATACTTAATGTATGATTTTTGTATTTCACCAAGACATTCTGTAATTTAGTGTCAACTAATAAACTGTTTGTCCTCACCTGAGTTATCGTTCACTGCACTAACAGTTAACTTAATATTGTTTGACTTGGTATATTTATGATATGAGCCCTGAATACCAATTTTTGCATCTGTTTTATTGATACTTAATTGAGGTTTTTGAATCGATTTCGTTTGTAGTGATGGACAGATATTAGTTACTATTTACACACATATTATGTGATGACTTGTTCAATTCACTAATTCCCATCACACAAAATCACATTCTAACATTAGAAGTGGGGATTTATTTTTTTGAAAACTTTGAATTTTAACAATCGGAAACCCCGAATCGATCTGAAATTACATAATTGTTGTAACTAACAATTTACTTTTTTATCTATTGAATGATGAATTAAAGTTGAATAGACTGCAGATTCAGTTCTGCAAAAGTTATATTCCAAACTAAGTAGTGGGGAAAAAGTATCTATACTTTAAATCGAACTCAACGTATTTTATAGTTGCAAATACATATTATTTAACCCACTAGTAGCCCTTCTAAGGTTACTGCCATTTCCAAGCCCACGTAGAGGAGGAGGGTTGAGCGTAGTGTTAGCATCCCCACCCCGTAGAAGACAAACTTGCTAAAAAAAACTAGCCAGAATAAACAAATTAAATCATTTAGACTTTACTGTGACACTTGAAGGATATTCATTCAAAAGAATTATGATATTTCATGGTGAAAGCCGAGATTCTTCCGAAGTCACGAGGACGATTTCCCTTATAACAATCAGAGCAACAATTAATATAGGTACATGGAATGTACAGATAATGTGAAAAACAGAGAGGATCAGTCAAATAACAACCAAAATGAGGAGGTGCAACTTGACGGTTCTCGGAATCACCAAGACTCATTGAACGCAAGCTGGACAGCAAAAATTAGATTTGGTAGAGATGTTACTGTACTCTGGTCACGAAAAAGAAAATACTCCGCATACTTAGGGAATTGCTCTGATACTGTCCAAAGAAGCACCAAAAGCACTTATGGACTAAATATCATCAAATTATATTTCAAAACAAAGAAGGAGGGAATCACGATGAATGTTATCCAGTATTATGCACCCACCAATGATAGCAAAGACAACAATAAAGATCAGTTCTATGAGAGGCTGCAATCACTCATAGAGAAGTGCCCAAGAAAGGATCTCACCATCCTGATGTACAACTTAAATGTCAACGTCGGAATAGACAACACCGGATATGAGGATATCATGAGACGAAATGATCAGAGTGGAAGAAAGAAACGAAAATGGGGAGAGATTCGCAAATCGATGTGCATTAAACAAATTGGTTACAGGTGGCACAATATTTCCACACAAATTCATACACAAAGCTATATGGGTATCATCGGATCACACCACGGAGAACCAGATCGATCGTCTTTGCATCAGTAAAAAATTCAGAAGACATGGAAGACATGGGAAGCAGAAGAGGAGCTGATATAGATTCAGATCACCAAGATGAAACTGAAGCTAAGGAAACACTACACAGCTGGGGAAACATCATTACAAAATTCACTACAGCCTTCCTTCAAGATACTGACAAACTCAACCAATTCAAGATAACTCTCAACAAGTTCCAAGCCATTAAGGACCTACTCAAGGAAGAAAAATTACTATGGAGGACGATTGGACAGGGGTGAAAAAAGCCAACTTCAACGTGTCAGGAGGTTCTGGGCCGCATAAAGCATCGTCAAAAGGAAAAATCTCTATCGAAGCCTTAAACAAGATTTAGGAAGGGAAAAACAAGAAGACAGCAATTAACAACAGTCAAACAAGAACGGAGAAAGTCAAGGCACACTGAAGTATACAAGATAGTAAAAAGGAAAATTAGATCTGGCAAACAGAAATATGTGGGAGAGCTAGCAATGACAGTGGATTAAACTGCAAGAGAAAAAATTATAAGATATCTATATGACACCGAAGAAACTAGTAGGGAAATACTGTAAACCAGAAAGACCGGTCAAGTACAAAGAAGGTAAGCCAATCACTGAGATTCAAGAACAGATCGACAAAACATTTTGAGGAACTCTTGAATAGATCAGTTCTACTGGATCCAGTGGACATCAGAACAGCACACACAAACCTTCCTATAGACGTCAACCTACCAACAATAGAATACATTGGTATATCCATCGGATTAATAAAGAGTGGGAAAGTAGTGGGACCTAACAACACACCAGCTGAAGCATTAACAGCAGACATAGAAGTAACTGCAAACAAACTTCACACTCTATTCAGGAAGATTTGGGAGGAAGAACAAATGCCGATGGACTGGAAAGAAGAAGATCTCATCAAGATACCAAAGAAAGTAGATCTCAGAAAGTGTGAGAATTATAGAGGCATCACACTACTATCGGTATCAGGAAAGGTTTTCGACAGTGTTACTAAACCGGATGAAAGATCCAGTAGACTTACAGCTTTGATATAAACAGACTGGATTCCATAAGGATCAATCGTGTACAGACTGAATCGCAAGAGTACGAATCGTAGTTGAACGATCAATTAGATGAAACTCGTCACTATACATCAACTTCCTTGACTGTGAAAAGGCGTTTGACAGTGTGTATAGGAGGACCTTATGGAAAATTCTTCGACACTATGATGTACCTGAGAAGAGCATCAACATCACAAGAATACGATGGACTGCACTGCAAGTTGTGCTTAGGGGAGAGCTTCCAGATGCAATGTAAGTGAAGATCGGTGTCATACAAGGCTTTTTACTCTTGTGTTTTCTCTTTCTTCTGACGGTCGATTGGTTTATGAAGACTCCCACATTTCAAGGGAAGCACGGAATACGAGGGACATCTTCGAATCGACAGAACGATTTGGACTTCGGAGATGACCTAACTCGTCTCTCCCATATACAACAACAAATACAGATGGAAACAACTAATGTAGCAGCAGCCTTCGAAGCAGTAGGCCTCAACATACACAAAAGCTAGATCCTAAAATGCATCACAGAGAACACCAATCTAATCACAATTGATGGAGAAGCTCTGTAAAATGTGATAACTTTCCCATATCTCAGCAGCATCACTGATAAACAAGGAGAATTTAATGCAGATGTACAAGCACGGATTGTCAAAGCAAGGACAGCATTTCTACAATTGATGAGCATATGTTATTCAAAACAACTGCTGCCCAAAATCAAAGTCAGATTCCTTAATACAAGCGTCTAATCAATTCTACTATACGGAGCCAAAACTTAAAGAACTACCACAACCATCGTCAAAAAAGTAAAGCTGTTTATCAACAAATTTCTACGAAAGATATTCAATATCCGTCGACTAGATACCACTGTGGGAGAGAACAAGCCAACTTACAGATGAAGAGTGAAAGACGCTGGAGGCCGGTAGGACATACATTTTGGACACCATTAAAATGAATCACGAGGCAAGCCCCAACTTGGAATGCTAAAGGTGAAAGGGAAAGAGGAAGACCGAAGAACATATTGAGTTGGGAATTGGAGGCGAACATCGAAAAAGTGAATACCAATATATATATATATATATATATATATATATATATATATATATATATATATATATATATATATATATATATATATATATATATATATATATATATAACCTAGTAATGTCACAAAGCCATAAAACTTGATAAAGTAAATTAATGCGTTAATCCATGCATAATATACCACAGAAATATAAGATGGATGGTTTTCCAATGCATACTATTGAAGCAATGTAAATAAAGTAAATCCTCTCTCTCTTTTGATATGTATGTATGTACTTATTTATGTGAACTTATTGTCGACAAAAGAGACAGATAATGAATATCAACCCTTTAAATCTTTGTGAATCAGTCAGTTTACAGAAAAGATCGCTGAATCCACTTTTCTTGTTCACTTCTGATACATTCTTTCAGTTAGTCTGTTTATCTCTATACCATAGCGGTGTAATAAAAATGTCAATCAAACAAAGCTTACATATATATATATATATATATATATATATATATATATATATATATATATATATATATACGTGACTATGTTAGCTGACAATACTATCTTTACGTTGTAATAAAGCATAGTTATATATTGGAAATTATTGTCTTTTTTTTACATTTTTCGCTTAGCGGATATAGGTAATTCAGTGCATAACTGTCATCAAATACATTCTTTTCCTAAAAATCATTGACCACTAAATAAAAAAGACCAGCTCACTTCTGTATTAAATTATTTAATTTATACCATATATCCCAATACTTTCAAGCAGAGTTGGGTAGTGGCTAGCAGCGGAAACTAGGATGTACATTTTATTCTATTCGGGAGCCGTCAACTAGACCCAGTTGTTAAATAGACGTGTTAGGCGTTTGAAGCGAAATTACCAGGTCTGAGTCCTGGTGTGCGCACCAACACTATGGTATACGTAAATCCAGCTGATGAGTCTCAACAAGGGGGAAATGCGAATCGTCGATTCTATTATAGTAACTATCCAACTCTGATTAATTTGTTTGTGAATTAATGAGAACATCGAGGCATTCAGCACAGGGGGATCATGCATCAAAACAGAATGATCAATTAAAGTCCATAATACTAACGAGAAGATACAAACGATCAATGCAAATGTATATCCTGAGGTTTCAAATAAATTGAGTAGAAAGTTATCCTCAAGTTTAAAAAAGAGATCACAAAATGTAACATATCCCTGAATCTTAAGTTTATGAAAGAATTTGACTTCTAGTTGGTATCCATGTTTAAATGATCGTCACTTTATTTTATTAAAAGCGTGAGGGTAGCTCAGTTATAACAGTGAATGCAAATTATATTGCATCACAAATTGAGTAGAACTGAACATCCGGACCATTAAAAATCGTCTCAACGATTTAATAATATTTTACACATTACGATAATTGCAGATTACATAAGTAAGTATTTTTGAAGTCTTGAAACACAAGGGGACAAGTATACACTACTCCTTAGATCTAAATGAATCTGGATCATAGCTTATGAATTAAACTCTTCAAAAATGTGAATGTGTATACCTGATACCAAATTATATTCACAAATTTATGCTACTTATAAGTAAGCCATACCTAGAGTGAAATATTTAAATTATGACTTTTACGGGTGATTAATTATGGGGTTTGAGATAACTTCAATCTGAAGATAGTTTTCACGTTGAATCATATACTTACTCATAAAGTTTCGAGGTGATTTCCTAAAGAACTTATAATTGATGGAATTCGACCATTTCAGTAGTTAAGCACTTATGTCAAGTAATTGTTGAAGATGAAAACGTGAACCATTGTGTCCCAACTCAGTTATATAGTGAAAAAACATTCACAATGAGACCTTAAGGTTTTGGGTGTTTTTATGATGTACCAACACGAAGCAGATATACATTAATCTTTTTTTGATGTCCCAGCTGAGATGGGCTAATCATGAGAAGCTGACTTATTTGATGAATGAAAATGACATATTTACAACCAAACCATTCAATCCAAAAAATTTGATATCTTAAAATTTTTCCCCAAAAGCTAGATTTGTTCATCATTCCAAACTATATTATATTTTATCATTTTTCATACTGTGTAAGCTACATCTTCATAACAATGACATGATATTAAATTTTGACAGCCAAATGATCAAACGGGACACTGAATCCCGACCGTATGTTATCTGTTCTTATTCGAATTACACCCAGTACTTACAGACTTAATAATCGTTATCTCAATGTTCATTTTAAAGTCAAAGAGTTTTCAGCTGAATTCATATTAGTTCTATCAGCTAGTCTCATAGTTATTTTAAAAAAATCTGTTAATTAAATTTTCATTTTCCATTATTAGTGGGAAAATACAAATAATTACAAACGGAGTGTTAATTCGTCACATAACTGCATTTATAAACGGCATCAAAAGCCATAATGTCAATAAAAGTTAAAAGATATCTCATCACATAGTGATCTTTGCAAAAAAACTGATTTTCACGTCAAACAACTGATAAAATTTATGCGAACAAAATTAGACTATTTAGTTCGCGCGCGAGACCGAAGGCTCTGAGTTCGAGTTCCGGTAGAGGAATCGTGGGTATGCGCTGCCGAGGAGTCCCATACTGGGACGGAACAGCTGTCCAGTACTTCCAGGTTTTCAATAGTGGTCTAACATTGATCAGTTAATGATCTCTGTGAAATTGAAAGTCGTAAATCTACTAAGATTGATATTCTTAAGTTATGATAAGATGAATAGGTCATAACTGTTTAGGTTAGGCACTAAGGATCAGAATTATTTAATCTTACATTCAGTAATTTCACAGCAGCTGAATAATCAATATCATAATTTAGGTTCAGTTAGCTATGAACCGTGACTTTAGCTGATAATACGTTAACGTTAACCTCTGAATTCCAACAGCAATTTAACGAAGAAAATAACAAATAATAACCATAATTGTTTAATTCAATACTGTACGTTTGATTACAGTGAAGAATTCTCTGTATAAGTATGCAGTATTTTAACAAATTAGCATTTAATATCCATCTAACTTGTTAATATTCACAAAAACATGAAAACATTTTTTAATAGTAGTCAGCAGGAATTAGTCTTCATCCGTAAACGTTTTTCTTTGATCAGCTTTTGTCATCTCATAATATACTAGACGTTTGAACTACCTTTCATTTCTCGAAAAAAACACATGAAGAGGAAAACAAACCAAACGCGTGACAGTGCGGTTTGAACTTGATGACCATTATTAATGACATGCTATCACCTTTTCATAAAAGTGTTTGAGCATATCGAAGAGATCAACATTAATGATTAGCCACTCAGAACAGACTAAAAATAGGAACAATGAATTGTAATATTTGTACAGTTGAAGAATAGGTGATCTACAAGTACGAGGATAAAGGATTTTCAAGAAAATATCCATAATGTAACCAGAATGTTTAATAAATTGATAAAATAACATATAACACTGATTAACACCATATTTTTATTGTATTATAGAGACGACACAATAAATTAGTAAAAAATCAGTTACAATTAGCATAATACCTGTTCTCACAGATTTTTATAATGAATTTAAAATTCATTGCGTTAGTTTCGAGCATTTTGTTTACTCCAAAAATTTATGAACTGAATGAATTCAAAATATGCAATTGAAGATAAATTGGTAAAAATCTAGTATAAGGATAAGTCAATCAGAATCAGGAATGCGACTTTTAGGCTTTAGCGCGAAATTCAAATTTCACGTATAACAACTCGCATAATTATCTTCTCATACTACTCAAAACATTTAGAGTAATTGCGAGATATCACTTGTAACCACCATAGAATCTTGCAAAGTTTCCTGATTGACTAATAACTGTTTGAAAATGAATTGAAGTTGTTTTAAGTTCAGCCTCTATACTATACTTTCACCGGTGAATTAATATCAAGAAACTTGTTATTACCTTGAATGTTCCACTATCAACCTTAGCTTAATTACTAAAAAGTGAATTTGGTTTGATGTTTTTTTTCCAATTCACCATAAAACAAATGTGTATATTAAATAATAACCTGAAAATGACTATATTTTATTCAACAGTAAATAGATTTCTAAAAAGGAATTGGGAATTAATACGAATTGGACTTTATGTTAAAAAATAATTAACAGTATCGTATTGAATTTAGAGTAAAATTGTGCTAATCTTTACTTCTTACGGTTATTACGATAGTTTAATATGGGGAGATATTTGAATAGTAAATATGACAATGTTATTACAATATGCTGTGAGTTTAAAACTAACTTTATTGAAATGTTAGACAATAATTGGGAACAGATGACTAAAAGGCCTAACAATGAGATTGTTTACCGATAATAAGATGATGTGGTTAAAGTCGATAAGAATAACACATTCATTCAGAATACATATTATCACGTATAATGCTTTCCAAACACAACGATCATATTGTCAGTAAAAAGAACAGTTTATTAAGTAGTTACTAAAAATTAAATAAATATATACTAAACAATTAATAGTAGGAATATAATTTGCTTTATACACGACATTCTCTTAATGGTAGCCATTCTATTTATATTGAACTTAGTAAGACCAGTAGAATTTCTGATCATTCATGTAGTTAAAAAGAACTATGAATAGCACTATACTTTAAAAGTTGCAGATTACCAAAAAGTTCTATATCCATTGATTATTGCTGTATAAGTACTTAAGATAATATTTAAATCAGTAGGCAATTTATTCTATTTCGGTGCATTATAGGAATCAATTAGTTCAATTTTGAAAAAAATATTTTGTAAACTGACTGGTAATAATCTATTGATTTCTTGGGTTCGGTTGTCTAGTTTAGTAAAAAAAACTAAAACATAAGCAAGTTTACAATATACACGAAGAGACAATGCGTGAAACTAATTCACACATGAAATAAAAGGCGAAACCATTTGACTTAATATGTATATGCATGTATATATTTATATAATTTAAGGCGTATATTACAATGGTAAGAAAATAACCAATTTTAATGTATTAGAGTAAACAAAACTTGATTTTTTCTTAACAAATAATTGATTATAGTAATTAGCTATTAACAAACAATCTAGTCAAAATAAATAAACAACAGTATTTATTTACTCAGTCCATTTTGAAACCACATATTCTTTTTTCTCTCATACTCTGTTAGATGTTCAATCGTAGTAGATAGTTAATCGAATATACATCAACATGTCTACACTTGTAAAGAAGATAAAGAAATTAAATAGATGAAACACAGAGTTTCGTAAAATTAAAACAAGTTCTCTCAAATAAAATAACCACAAGTTACGAATTACCAATATGAAATAATGTACATAAACTAATACTTATTTTATTTATTGACTAATAATAGAATTTCAATAGTTGAAATCATGAGTCAATTGGAGCTAGACCACCATAGAAAACCTGGAAACACTGGACGGTTGTTTCGTCCTATTGCGGTGCACATCCACGATCCCACCCCCCAATTCAATTGACTCATGATCTCAACTATTGAAATTACTAAAACTTCCAGAGAACTCCTTCTGATAATAATAGAATTATTGAATGAGTTTTCACAATCGAATAAGTTGTTGTTCAATGCTAATCTGAGAAACATAGTTTATACATCTAATCAGAAATAATAAATTTTTTGCATAATTCAATTATATTTCTAAAATTTTTAGATTGAATCGGATCCACAGGTATAGATAAACACAGTGGAATATTTGTAAGCGGAGAGAATACAAGCAAATGTATGATTATAATTTCAACAGAAACATTATAATTGAATAGTAACAAATCCTAATAATCAAAGGAAAGAACCATTACCATCACGAAATCCATTCACGGTCCAGTTGAAAATATAAACTTCTAAACTTTATAATATTAGCAAAATACACAGCACACGTATTACAACTATTTAGTGACAATAATCCCTTCAAACTTTTCTCTAAATTAAGATAAACATGTAGAAAAAATTGCTAAAAATTATACTGACATGATGTAAAAAACATTATAAGATATTATGTAAGTATAGAACATTTAATTCGTCCAAATAACTGTTATATCAATCATGGTAATATGAAAGAAAAAGAATAATATTTTCATATATACAACAAAAACAGAACAAAATATACAAAACAAAGAACTAATTGTACAGGACGACCACGAAAAAAAAAAACGAAAAGAAAATTAACTACTTATAATCCATTTACTAATAGATAGAAATAGAATGAATAAACTTGTCCCAATCAGATCACCTGCACCGGTAGTGACAGCTATAGCGGAGAAATCAATTGATGCTAAGGATATAACAGTATCATGAGAGTTTAATTGTTTTGTAAAATGTAAATATATCCAAAGTTTTAAAACAATCCATTTCGCAAACTCGAGAAGTATGCATATCTAAAAGTAATAGTATGAGAGAAACAAGAGAAAAAATACAATGATATTTTTCTATGTATTATACATGAATCACTTGATTGTAGGTAATTTTGTAAGTGCACTCCCAATGACCTCAAAAGAAAAAAAATATTCACCACAATCGATCTTGCATGGTAAAAGCAAGACATTCACTAATTGGACACCCAGGAGATGTAAAACATATGATTAAGCTAGAGTTTATAAGCTGTATGAATCGGGTCACATTTAGTTATGTATCTGGATTAATTGAAACAACTGAGTTATATGTTACATATACTGATGCCCAATGCTAGCCAAATTAATAATTGTACCTCATTTTGAGGACGTTGGAGCTGTTATGAGCACTTTGAATAGGATGTTTTGGTTGTGAACATAACATTAGTCTATCAAGAAAGCATTGATTATTAGTCTGGTTTGTGTAGACTACTTTAATGTAGTTCTAGAAACAATACAAACTAGTGACTAGGGGCCTTAGGAAACATAGTCGTGCACTAAACCTAATAGTCCAAATGTCATAACTTTGCTTTTTCAGATTTTGAGCAGTTTATTTCACTTTATTCAAATGTATCCTAAAAATGTCTTTTGAAAGTATACACAAAATGATCGACGTTAGATGTTTTTAAATTACACCAAAAATGATTGCAAATTTGATCAATAATTAGCTAGTCTTATAAGTGTCATTAAAAGTTATTTACAGCGTTTCAGCTGTGTAAAGTGATGAATTGATTAAGTCTTCTCTAACGGTGTGAACTGATTGTCCAAAGAAATCCATTGATCAGAATGCAAAAGAAAAACAATTGGTGTGCTACTAACCAATTCAAGTTGTTTGATAATAATCTTCATGATACTTTTTCAATAGATTCCTATGTAATGGATTACCGTTGTTATTACCCCCCTTTTGTATCCTTCAGTATTCTAGTTTGTTCAATCACTCACTTTAGTGATTTTTCAGGGTTTACTAACCCACTTACAGTGACAAATCCAGAGGAAATATGAAAATGGAAGATAACAATATTTGAGATTTAGAATATTGGTAGTACATATAGCATTTTCATGACCGGATATTTATTTGATCCTTGTTAAGAGAAGTTTTAGCGAAAACATAGGTCTAGGGAACCTGATTCAATAAAGAATACACTAATCTTTAGTTATATATATATATATAGTAGATAATCAGCAAGCAAATAAGAAAATAAATTACCTGTATGAATCCAGCGATGAGGTAAGGAATTAAAATATCAAACTGCAGAGGTGATGTGATCTTTGGAGAATTATCCTGTTTTAAATAATAATTGACAGTGAAACTGACTAGAGTTAAAGTAAAATGTAACGGGACACACAGGAACCTGATAAGTTTAGATACCTGTGAAACATCGGTATGAATTTCACGTATTTTTCTACAGGATCCTAATGTTTCGAACGACTGAGATGATGTGTAGAAATGTGAATTATTAGTTGTAGATTTTCTATCAGAGTTCACAGGGTTGACTTTTTCAACTGTGACTAGACCAGATGTTGGAGAAACAATGAACGACTCCTTCAGAGGAGGCTTTTTTGAACAAGTTATTGAATGCAGGCGTGTTGTCATTCTGCTAATTAACATTGAGGCAAAAATCCCCCCCACACCTACATGCAAACAAAAAAGCATAGAGAAATATGTGAGAATATAAAATCAATACAAGTTAATAATTTATTTAACACCATCATAGGCCGTAATTGATGGTCAAACGATCACTTCAACTAACAAAGCTTACAGTTGATAAATATGTGTGGTACATAAATATTTGTAATATTCAGTTACAGAATGCTTTGGATGTAATAACATCCGTAATATCCTCACTATTGTACTAAACTATGGAAAATAACAACAGATGATATAGGATTGATTTTTATGCTTTACAATTAGAGCTAATTAAATGAATAGACAACGATACTTTCTTGAAATGGAAGCTAAATTAAATTCTTTTTGCATAAGTATCAGAACAGTTCAGTCTCATAATAAAGTAACAATTGCGATCAATTTTACTACTTAACTATTCAGTTTAAGCATGGAAGGATCACAACAATTCGGTGTTACAGTCAAAACATCCTAACAGTGACAACATAAAATTACGAGTTTATAATTACATAATATCATTGGACAAAAGTCAATAAATCATCTGCAATACTAAAATCAGAGCTTCTCAGATAGTTCAAAATAAAATACGGAACTAGCAGTCAACTGTCACAAGTTAATAATTCGAGTCCCTTCAGAAAGCAGAAACGGATAGTTTATTGTCTAACGAAAAGTAAAAGTATGATTGGGCACAATCTTCCTCAAAATATTACATGTTCGTTTGTTGGTCAGCTACAACGTACGACCAGGCACATATATGCATCGGTCCAAGTTGCCATACCGCATTAGCACAACAAGATGAACACCGAATTCATAGAAGTAGTTAATTCAACAGTGGTAATATATAAAAGAAAGATTGTATATAAGTATATGGTACAGGAAAGAAAGATATAAAGCAACTTTAATCTCATAGTTTAAGGGAACACAGAAAGTGTATACACAAAAGTCATTGTGATCGATTCTCAGCCATGTCACACAGAATCTCCAACCACTAGTTACGACAATCATGCGGACCCCAACCAAGTAATCTGCATCTAACAACATGGCCCAGACCAAATGTTAGTGACTTTGTGGACTGCTTCCACGTTTGGTTTGGCTGCCCCTAACTTTTTGTCATCCGTCTCCAAAACTAGTCAGCATTGCGCGTCATGGTAATCGGTAGTTGAGCATACGTAACACGTGGCTAAACCATCTCAGTCGATGTGGATTCACAACCTCATCAACTGATTTACCATCATTCCCGAATACCCTACATCTAAACTCACTATTACTTACTCGGTCATCCCAGCAGATACCAGCAATCTTTCTAAGACATCTGTGACCAAATACTAGTAGCTTACGAGCATTTTCTACTCTTAATAGCCACGTTTCGCCGCCGCAAATTAAAACAGAACGAACTGCCGCTCAGTATACTCGTTACTTAATAGACAGATATCTCGCCTTCACCATAAGTGACGCAAGTCGGCAAAAGCCGAACGAGCTTTCTGAATCCGTGCAGAGATTTCGTCAGACATCAACCCATTTGGGCTGGTCAAACTTCCAAGATAAGTGAAGTTGTCAACGCTTTCGACTACTTCACTCCCTATCCTTAGTTCACATGTTGACACGGGTCAATCCTGGAGCAACAAATTGCATTTAGAGGTGGAGAAGCACATCCCAAACATCCTGACATGGTTGCTCAGTGTTTTCAATAGACTCTGCATTTAACCAGCGTCTTCACCAAACGGGACTATACCATCTGCGTATTCTAAGTCGATAAATGAACCTCCTGGTAGGAGATGAGTTCCTGAAAATTTAGAGGACGAGGGCGTTATTCCCAGCAGTAGGTGTATGATGAAACTAAATAAAAATGTAGATAGTGAACAGCCTTGCCAGACACCACTTGAGGTTGCAAAATCAGATGACAGTTTGCCATAAGCTCTGACTCGACTGGTGGTGTTCGAGTAAAGAGCCTTCACAAGGTTTATGTACTTCTGAGGTACACCTTTCAATATCACAGAACCTCTCAATCAAAAGAGTCAAATGCTGCTTTTAAGTCAAGAAAGACCACAATTGTCGGACGCCGATAAACATGTCTGTGTTCTAAAACTGACGAATGGTGAATATGTGATCGATGCAACCACAACCAGGTTTGATTTTCTCGTGTTTGCATTTCACGGATCATAGTTGGGCGCCCGTTGATTATTGAGGCTAGTATATTAGATACTATATTAGTCAAGCTAATTCCTCTATGGTGGTCACAGGATGATTCTAACCCCTTCTGTTCTGTCACTGTTCATAACAGTGACTAGACTTTTATTGACCTTACCGTTTAATGACACAAATTTGATAATACTGTAGCAAACGATAACATGAGTGGGAACAATCGAACAGAACATCTTAGCAAAATCCGAGAACCATACAGTAAATACTTTATTTGCAAAATGTCAATCAATTGTCTCAAACTTGACTGTTCCTTTTGCAAGTATCAGTCAATCGTTTCAGACTTCGCTGTTTCGTTTCCACACCAATGATTCCTTGTTCTCGTTCTCTTTCTTCGATCTTCTTAACCTTCTGACTCGAGGCACTTCAGTTTCGATTGACGATACATGCTACTTGTATCTATTAACATCAGTAGCACACACCACTATACTATGAAACTAAAATATAATTCACAAGTGATGCAAATGTGCCACTAAATAGAATTACTTAAAAAATTAAATCAATGTTATGTAGTTTCGATCTCCTTAAAATAGCACCCAATAGATAATCAATTACTATTTCAAGTCAAAATAATATTTGAAGATAATATACATTTCAACTAACAATACAAGTCTTACAAATATTTAATGTCAAAGTACTGAAAAGTTGTCTTAATATTTCGTGAATACCTAAATGAAAAAAAACACTGATTCCCGTTTAGGCATCGACGTACTTTTTTAAGGCTCCGTAATCAGTTTCTTAACTTTTGAAATACTAATTACAATCGTTGCTATTTTGAACATTAATACGCTTACCAGTGGGTAAGAGATATCGGAATAGTATGAAACTATACTAACATTGAAATAAAACTTAGCATTTTAAAGTCAAATAAAACAGAATTATCATTATCGTCGTTACTTATGGTTATCGCACTTTAAATTACATAACATTATGTATATAAAAATAACAAATGTTTACTAACAACGTTTTATTGTCTATATATATCATGAAATATTATATTCTTAGATCACAAAAGCTCGAGAAAAATTAATGTTATTGTACGTGTGATTGATTTGTAGCACTTAATAAATGGCTCGATAAATTATGTACTCATTAGCGATTATTTGCAATGCAAAATTGCATTTATTAAACACAACAATCAGTATTACGAATATTTTAAATATAGATTTGTTGCTATGCGCAAGAAGTTACTTTGATGAATAACTAACTAAGCAAACTACGACATTTAGTTTCCTGTACCTCTAAACTAAACAGTTAAATCAATCAGTATCAGATACATTTCAACATAAAATAACCGAACTGGTAAGTTACACTACAAATGTATCCAACAGAACTGCCGCATTTGTCACAAATCAATCCTAAAACTTATAACTACGAAGAAAGTTCAACTTATACAAGACAGTTGAACATATCACTGCGTGACACATTATTTACGAAGTACATTAATAGATGAGTAAAAAGCAACATTTAAGAGAAGTCGCGTGATGACTAACTTATGTAACCTATTAAGATGAGATGAGTTTCATAATTTGTGGAATTACAATTGATTTAGAAAAGGATCAAGGTTCTGAAAATAGGGACATTATCATTTCACTGCAAAATAAATTTCAAACAACGGAGGAAAAGCCTAATTGTTTTCCAAGTTAGATACTTATTAGTATGGTTAAGTCAAGCGTTATTTTAGGTATAAAATCTTTTTACAAGACTAGAAACAACATATGTTTAGTTTTAGTTCTGACTGCAAGCAGTTAGTAGGAGGTTCAAATACTGAACTACATTGTATGGAGTACGTATGCGTATATAAAAATGGTATTATTCTCGCTTTTGCACACAATGTGGTTAAAACAAGTTCACAAAAAAATATGTAAGATGAATTACCATTTATTGGGACTTGAACGCGCGCAATGATGGGCCAATCTATCAGGAATCGGGCGGATATATTCCCACAAATGCTAGTAAAGTCAAAAGTTGAATTTACAAACGAAAGAAATTGTTCGATATTACCTAATACAGTAATTGTTTAAAATATTATGCAGGAAAAGAATAGGGATAAGATGAAAACAGTTAAAGACTGACAAGATTTCTCAAGCAATAGGAAACATGAACAGAAGCGCTTGAACTACAAGAAGCTGATCGCGCTTTTATACGAATACAGAGGAAAAATACACAATAGTTCTATATTTCACCACATCCAAACGTATCTAGAAGCAGTTCTTTCCAAATAAAATGTTGATATTTCTTACTTCATCAACCACCATAAACCATCGAGTTAATGTTTGGAAACAAATACATCACTGTGTAACTTACAGAAAAATTCTAATGATGAAGTGGGGACATTTATGGCTTTATTTAAAAAATAAAGTTTTTCTATAACAGATAATTTGATACCACTTTATGAGTATACTATAGATTGCATCTGCGTGATGGAATAAACTACGCGTGAAAACTCGATCGAAAATAATATGAAGTTATGAGAGAATCTCTAGTTGTAAACAGTACGGTGAAACGTGAACCTTGAGGAGCTTAACATTAGGTAACAGTTTCACACTGGAGAAAATGGATTCATTCATCATCTATTCCCAGATCTTCAGTTTAAATATTATCTGTTCCGTAAATTCATTTCTTTTTACCAACCGTATTCTGTATATTTAGTATAACTCATTCTCATACACATCACTATCACTTCGACTCCTTTGATATGTATCACGTTAGTTTCATCTTACTGTAGTAATGTAGTGCGGTAACTTGGATTAAATTACGATTGGATCAAATCCTACGGTGTTTATGACGGAGTTTAAATTTAATAACTTTAATTTTATTTATGAAAGATACTTTTATTAATCTGAAGTTTAGATTATTACTAAGAAATGTCTGTTTATTTGGGAAAACATACTATGCCACCTACATATACCTAGTAAACTATCACAGATGAAAAAAAATTACTGATATGATGGGATTAAAAATCAAAATTAAATTGTGATTTTGTTCAACATCGCTTCTGTATGTTTAATTCAATGTGATAATTACTCAATGTAGTATATGTTTTGTTCGTCCAGTATGATAATTTCTTCATTATAACATTAATTCATTTGAGCGTGATGTTTGTTAAATATATGATATTCTTGTATTAAATCAACATGAACTATGTTCAGTATGACATGCGACATATACCTTTTTGTAACTCTAGGTACTTTTCATATATATGATTTCATACCAATTAGTGATCAAAATGGGTGTACAATCAATATATGAACGTAATTTTGACTGAGGTCGTCGTGTTTTGCGGTTAGTAAACCTTCATTTGTATCAGTCTTGGTGTTCTTACTTCGCGTCATGGGAATTTCGGTGGTTTCTCCTATTTCAAGTATAAATAACAAGCGTTTCTGATATAACAATTGACGACCAGCCATAACAATTGCGTACGTAGTCAGTAGGCAAATAACATTTACATCGAAAAGAAGCTATAATGACTAGATTAGTAGAACAACTACAAAATCTTCTACATCATAAATATATGATTTATGACTTTTCAAGCAAATTTTTACTTTCGACTTACCTACTCATGATAATTGCAAGCGTTAAAGGAATGATGGTTTCTTTAAAAGTATTAAGTGTAATAATAAGACTGCGAAGATCACCAGATACGTTGACATTTGAATGGTATAGTAAATAAGATATACTCAAAATAAGAACCACAGAAATCATGCACACGGCAACGGTGACAGTCAAGGTTGGATCTACACGAACATTACCAAAAATAAATTAAAGGTGAAAAATATTTTGATAGATTCCCTTATCTAGTGATATACGTGATATACCTGACATCATATATGATTGAAAATTACTTAGACTTTGCACAGTTACCTTTATATACATGATCGATTGATCATAGAAACTATTAATTTAAGGGATCGAAGTGTAATTAGTGAATCAATACTACTCACTAACCAAGTATTAGACCGTGCAATAGGCTAAGATCTGTACATCGTGTGTGATACTACTATGCTAAATCGAAACAGGAGGCGCAGAATCTGACCCTGAAGCGGAACCAGGAAGTTGCTATTCCATCCATTCATTATTCTGATTAGTCGAGATATTTATAACGATATATTTAGTAAATAGTTGGGGAACATATTTGCTGATTAGCTTAGTGAGACGTCAATTACTATTAACTAGGACGCAGTCAATAAGAGATGAGTCATCCCTGATGCATAGTAGAAAACCAATCATCACAAGGCTATAAAATGATGCCATAGATTTTTTAAATAAGAACACATAGAATGCACCTTTTGAATAGACAAATAGCCAGTGGATCTGTATTACTTTACTACAATTCTGAATAATCACTGAGATAAAAAGAAAATAGTGAAATTTCTCGGGGACTTATCCAAATATGCTGGTTGTAATATCTGTAACAAGATGAGAATGTTTAAGAGACAGGTTTGAACGATGCTGTTAGTTTCAGAAAAGATGGATCCGGCATTACTTTTATTTATGCCTCACATAAAAAAACAATTTAGCAAACTAAAGCTATTTGAGACAACAAATAAATTCTGAAGGGAGGTTCTGAGTGAGTTAAAAATCAAAATCTACTTGTAAAATTGACTTGCATTGAGGAAAGCCCCTCACAAAATACTCCTCAATAGGTGATTTAACATCTGGAGCCATTGATGATGAAAATTTAACTAAAATGATTTCCTTGTGGTTCTCTTAAAGTTTTGCATTTTGTTATGAAATTAAATGATCAAGGATCGCAATTAGTATACAGAATTTATGACTGATGCCCATACATTATTTATTACCTCAAACGAATTGAAAAACTATGTAGACCAACAGTCAGGTTTTGTTGCTACGTCTTGTTTTAAATTCGTTGCAGCTATTTCAACCTCAGTGGAAGTCGAGTCGCTAGAAAATAGACCGTTGCTGCAAACCAGTTGAACCATTCCCGTACGTTCTACAAGATATTTCAATTACCTGTCCCGAAGTGTAAATAACTGCTAAAGTGATACTGAGAGTGAATCTTATTATTTATTTTAACACATAGATATCGGTACAAGAAGGCACCAAATACATATGCGCCACACAGATCTCATTGGATATGTGTGAAGGCTGTGGTACTTCCCGGGTGTCCAAACCGAAGCAGGTGGTTTTCTTAGGGGGCCACATCCCGAGCCTTTGACCTGAAGATCTGACCCACAAGGCAGTGGAGCATCGTGAGGAGATGCAGTCTCATGGTAGCCGGTGACCAACGATTGGTTCATAAGTCATTCGTTCCTTCAGGATACTGGAGCCCATGAGCACCATTGGTTTGGAATCCAGTTAAAGCGCCGGACATTCGCTTTTCGTCCTCTCATTTTCGTAAACAACACCCCCGCCACGAGAAGGCAGTGAGTAGGACTTCCCTGGAAGGGGCTGTATACGCGTGGCCATGTGAGAGTATTTCGAGAGGGAGAGCTGACTCTCCCCACTCTCGGCCATACCAGAGCATTTGGGGGTACTGGGTTCGAGTCCCAGAGTGAATAGCAACTCTGAGATGCAGGTACATCCAGCTGATGAGTCCCAAATAGGACGAAACGCACGTCCTGGATTCCACAGCTAGCCACTATCCATAACTTGTCAAGGTGACTCAAATTTTACTTGACAATTAAAACCAAAAGAGTGACGACTTACATTTATCAGAAATATTTATTTGGGTCAAATATTTACGAAAATTGAGGTATCCATATTAAAATGGACGTGACAATCGAACTTGGGAAACTCTTTGGCCACAGAGAACTTTCACCATTTTGATATGGTGAATTTTACGGAAAGCTATTGCTATATATTAAGCAACACTTTTCGTTTCTCAGTAAAAACTGGAAAATCTACATTTTGGGAAACCTATTAGTGACTGAATACAAGTTATAAACTATTCAGGTGTCTTGCATAAACTATTGCATTAAGAAGTGAGTAAGAGTAGCTTACTTGTATAAAACAAATACAAATAAAAAACTTACGCACGATAAAGTAATAGTTCACATGTGAAATAATCAAAACAGTCACAAGATCACCCAAAGCAGCGGCTGCAGGTGGAGCAACATTATCAGGATTCGCTCCACAAAAGACGCAAGCACATACTATTGCGTAAACAACAACACCTTCAAAAATTTCGGGCAATAAAAATTGAACACTTGCCTATAAAACACGTGGCACAAATGCAAGTCATTGATGAAATGCAGATAAGATGAACAAGATCAACAGGGAAATGAGATGTGCTCGATGATTTATGTAACATTATTACCACTAAAGGTATAATTGTGCTTGCAAATACAGCAAGAACCTGTTAAGATATATATAACAAATTTAAACACTTAACAAGTATAAAAGCCAGAGTGGTTGTAAACAACCAGAAAGATAGTTCGTTAAACTTTCTTCGAAAATGAACCTAAAAGTTCTAGGAAAACATTTTGTCAAACAAACCACAGTAGCTAATCGAGAGGAAAGAGCAACTTCTAAATTTCCTTTCAGTCCAAGAATTGGCGGAATGATCTCAAAAATACTTTCCTCTTTCGAAGTTAAAGTGCCCTACAAAAATGTAAATTATTAATGATGGCCATACGGAGGACTTCAGCATATCAACATAACATCCCGCAACTACCATCCCAACACCTGCCAAAAGACAGGCGGGAAACATTTCACGAGCGACATAGTAAATATGCCGAGAAGAAGACATTGTGAAATAAGTGTTTAAACAATGAGAACACTTCGAAAATTCTTCAGACTTTGGCCAGGGAGTGTAAACAGAATCTAAAGCATAACAAATATTAAGTTGAGTAAGACTTACGTACTTCGCTGGCCAAACATTCTCCATGTGAATTTACAGTAATTTGATGAAATATTGTGATCCACTTCAGTTAGTACACTAGTTTGGGTTTAAAGATAAACAAAATAAGGTAAGAAAGGAAAATTTATGTTGAGACTTTGAGTAGAAGTTGTCGATAAAGCTTAGAGACCAGCTAGTTGAAAGTTGTATACTTTACAAGTCGAATCAACACGGCCAATTTTTGCATTCCAATGTACAAAACGGAATAACATCTAGTTACTTCGTGAAACATTTTTATAAATAATGAAAGTTAATTGGATCCACTAAGTGGTTTATAAATAGAAAAAAGGTGAGGAGTCGAAAATATTTAATGAGTACTTTTACAAGCAGAAATAATTTCTTGGAAAAAAATTTTAGAGTATTAAAACGAGACAACTACCTTAGAAATAAAACACAATAAGGAATTTGTGAAAGAAACCACTTCAAGTCAGATTGCACAATATATTCAGTGGCTATCTAACCAAATAGATGTCAAAACAATTGGTTTAGTTAACACCTTATCTAGACATGTAGTAGTACGAATGGATAAATAAAGGAAAAATAGTCAAGATCGTCAACTTCAGACAATATCCTTTCAAGTTTCATCAAAAGTGGATGGATATGAAATAAACGCATCACAGAAACAGGGAGTGATATATCATAGTTTACTTACGTTAAATTCTTTACAGGTACATATAAAAACTACGCTAATTCATGGGATCGAACTTTCAGGCATGAAACATTGGTAAGATAAACAATGGAAGTATAGACTGAGTTTTGGGTTTGGGTGAATCCATTACAAGCTATGATATACATAATTTAGATGCTTCACTGCATTTATTGAAAGTGTAAGCTAGTTATATTTTTATATAAAACTGTCGTAGTAACCATCCTTATTGAACGTAACCACAGCAGCAGATGCTACGGTTAAATAATTAGTAAGATCGAATTCTCTCGAGATTATTTCAACAACAGATAATATACCACCTACAATACGTTTTTTAAAAATTGATATTTAGGTCTAGATTACTCACTATAATTAAACTATTTTCTGGGTTATTTTTGTAAATACTTGCAGCATATAACCCGGTTTTCCATATAACAAGAGTCCTCCTTTACTGCTGTATTTTTGTTATCAACTTCCATAGAAAAAGCCCGAATACTTGAACCACATATAGCTGTAAATTCTACTAGTTCTACCGTCACGATTCAATATATTCCAAATAAATTGATACATGTTAACCCTTTACCCGATATAGTGTCAAGTAAATATGAAGTTTACGGAAAATTTATACACGGCGTTAAACCACTATATATCTGGTTGATATAGTTATTGCCTACTAATCACTGGAGGGTTTTCTGAGTCATGACATAAGTCGCACCTAATGCTGACATAAATTTATAGTTAGACAGATGTGGATCATAAAGTTATAATACAAAGAAAAGGTTGTATACTAATGTAAGCTGCTTTGAAAAGATTAAATATAGATCTAAACAGACGTCTCGAGATCTGTGTAGAGCCAAGCCAATCTCCCCATTTTTGGGAAGTCGTTATAGAAACTTTCGGGGGAAATAGCACCAGAATCCCAACATTTCCACAGGTCTGGGGGAATTTCCTAAAATTTTGGGGTTTTCCCCAGAATTTTATTACCTTTTCAGGAAATCCGTCCGTATTTATTGACAAAACATCAGAGTTTTGCGTCATTTCGAGGAAATTATCCAAAATGTGTCGTTTTAACGCAACATTTCTCCACAATTTTCTACAGATATCACTAAAAAGCCTGACGACTCAATAATAAGTACTCAAAAGTTTCTACTCATGTATTCCATTTTTCCCTGTCGACTCTGTACAATAAACACAGTGCCAAAGCAATTTAACTACAATTCGTAACGAGAACCAATCTGTTGCCGCAATTAAGAGACTGACATGTTATACACGAGAATCCTTAATGAAGTTTAATAAAGTGAAAAATTTCCATTAATACATTACTTCTCCCAGTTCTTCACAATTGTTTATGCGTTTTCAATAAGTACATTAGTTTGGTGTTGAACTTTTATTCAGTATTCTACAAAAAGAAAAAAAGGTACTCTTTAGTAAGCAAACAAATGTCATGATCAGGAGACTTGACCTCTTTTAAAGCAGCTTCGAAAGTACGCGATTTTTCATGTGTTTTTAACAGGAATTCGAAACTTGAAGTGTCTATGTTGTCGCTGCACCTGTCCTTCCCACCAATGTATGATCAATTAGTAAGTTGTAACAGGTGTTTAAGAAATTTTAGGCGGCCAGATTGTCCGAGATCATAAGTGATGACCCTCAGAAACCAATCAAAGCATGCCTAGCTTCCATGCTGACTCCGGAACTGGCAATCACTTATACTTTACGCGCGACTAAAAGTAAACTAGGTATCAGTAATTACCGATTTTACAGGACAATTCAAAGTTCATATTACAGTATTAATATATTTGTAGATTTCGATAATGCAATGAGAAGACGAAGTTTATCAGAATAATATGATATATTTGCGCAATACATATATATCACATAATTCTGATAAACTTCGTCTTCTCATTGCATTACTGGAATTTATCAAAGGGACTAATTGTTTCAAAAGATTTATAGATATTTTGTGTTCACGGTTCCGAGGTGCAGCCTGTCCAGAAGAAGAAATAACACAAGCCATGGATGTTGCACGCAAGGTTTTCTTACACGACACAAGAGATAAAGTCAATAAGCGTGATCCAAAGAAAGGGTAAGCTAAATGCGTTTTAAATCTTTGATTAAATACCGGTTTTTGTTTTGATATTAATTCGTAATAAACATTTATACGGAAATAATTGTTTCTTGTTCATCTTATTTTCGGCTGGCTTCGCAAGTGTTAACAGACGTAACTAAATTTTTTTATTCCGAATATTCACAATATTGTTGTACCATTGGTACGTCATCAACCTTTTACGTGACATTCAGGATTCATAAGTCGGATGATTGCCAAGACATTTGTTTGCTTACTAAAGAGTACTTTTTTTCTTTTTGTAGAACACTGAATGAAAGTTCAACATCAAACTAATGTACTTATTCAAAGCGATTAAGCAACCGTACGTAACGTATTATTGTCTACGAATATCCCCTAAATACACGACGTAAAGGCGAAAAAGCGACATTTTCCCTAAATACACGAAGTTAATGCGAAAAAGCGATATTTCCCCTTTATTTACGCTTTCGTCCCCTTTATTGGTTGATTGGGAACTGGGAGAAGTAATGTATTAATGGGAATTTTTCACTTTATTAAACTTCATTAAGGATTCTCGTGTATAACATGTCAGTCTCTTAATTGCGGCAACAGATTGGTTCTCGTTACGAATTGTAGTTAAATTGCTTTGGCACTGTGTTTATTGTACAGAGTCGACAGGGAAAAATGGAATACATGAGTAGAAACTTTTGAGTACTTATTATTGAGTCGTCAGGCTTTTTAGTGATATCTGTAGAAAATTGTGGAGAAATGTTGCGTTAAAACGACACATTTTGGATAATTTCCTCGAAATGACGCAAAACTCTGATGTTTTGTCAATAAATACGGACGGATTTCCTGAAAAGGTAATAAAATTCTGGGGAAAACCCCAAAATTTTAGGAAATTCCCCCAGACCTGTGGAAATGTTGGGATTCTGGTGCTATTTCCCCCGAAAGTTTCTATAACGACTTCCCCAAAATGATTCTCGGAATCCTGGGTTGACTTCTTAATTATATACAAGATCCAATCATTTGGAAATCATGGTCATGTTAGACGAAAACAGGTAAATATTATAAAGATCAAACTAAGAAACGTTACGATACAACGACCACGATGACTGCAAACTAAGTACCGTTGAAAATCAAAAACAAAACTTTGTACTTCGTATAGCAGAAATAACAAACCTTTTAGGAGATTGGCAGAGTCACTAGATAATAAAAATCAGTGAATATTTTCTACATCGATTAAATCAAACCATTTTAGGGTCCCACATTATAGACTTGTTTTTATAACAGGGATAGTAGGTTGATTGTCCTGTGTTAATCCTGAATGTTTACCTTCCAGTGAAGGTCCGGCTTCTCCTTGGAAACGCTCACTGATAGGGGTGATACCATTTGTTTTGATAAGGTATTTCAGTCATTGACCACTCGATGAGAAAAACGAAGCCGACTTTAAGTTTATTAGGTCGCGGTTTGTGAACCTACTTGCTATGGCCTCGAAGATTATTAATGCTGGAGGGAGCAAAAAGGCAAGACACATGAACGCCCAAATAGTAATTAGAGATACAAACTGCCAATATAAGGTCACCTCGCGTCCTACGATACGATATGGGAAAACAGTCTAAGAGTTTTAAAAGTTCATTGTACTTACTTACTTACTTACGCCCGTTACTCCCAATGGAGCATAGGCCGCCGAAAAGTTCATTGTAAGAAAGTTTAAAGTTAACAGTTGCTTTGACACAGTACTCTAATTGTGGTCTTACGTTATTGAGATATAAAGTTCGAAGTTTCTCCTCGTCAAAGCCTTTGATTGATCGGTGAAGTGACCATAACGTACGAAACTCTTTAGCAGCAGTTGCGCCGCAATGCGTAGTTGTTTTCAAGTCGTGACTTATTACTGCTCCTAAGTCATTGTGTTTCTGAATGCATGGAAGAGATTTACAATCAATAGCATGATGGTAACTATAACCGTGTCCAGTGTGCATAAATACGATCTTCCTAGAATTAACTTCTAAGCGCCAACCTCGAGTCCGTCTAATGGATTCGTCTAGGTCAGCTTAGAGATCACAATTGTCAACCTTACTTCTGATTGTTTTCCAGATCTCGACATCAAACTCAAACAATGTCGACGACTTAAGCAATGGCGGCAATTCATTGGCGTAGAGAAGGCAAATTAGGAGAGCTGAGATGGTACCTTCGGTACACCACTTTTGACGGCTTCCATTCGGATAGCGTTCCATTAACCCTCACTCTGCCTGTGGTCACATAACAAGTTTCCTGTACAGCACCCGTTAATCCGATGCTCGAGAGCTTCTGCATAAGTCCTAAGTGTGAAGCCTTGTCAAATGCTTTGCTAAAGTCTATGAACATCATATCGACAAACAGACCGTTTTCTAAGGCTTGATTCCAATACTCTCTCTTAATAAGTTGGTCGAGCATGAATTCTTGTTTCGAAACCGTGAGTTAGCAGATTGTACTAACCCATGTAACTTAGTAAATTGACTCTAATTATCTTTACAAGTAACGTGACGACTATGTTGGTTAAACTGACAGGTCGGTGGTCTGTCTCTAACCATCTTCTAATATAGAACTGACTATAGCATCTTTCCAATCTCTAGGGTGTTGACCGAGTGAAAGTGACACGTTGAAGAGTGTCGCGACTGGTCATGAAATAATATCCTCGATAGATGACAGCAGTCGTGAATGTAACCCATCAGGGCCCGATATCTACAAGGTTTGAGGTTGTGATCAATGCAAGAACAGTTTCCCTGGTCACATGTATATGTTCTATGGCTAATATCTTGGTGTGGTTGGGACAAGTATTTGTAACAATACACGTGTAGTAGACTTCGCTAAATGTTTGAAAAAGTCTCAGCTTTTGCCCAATCGGATTGAGCTAGTAAATCTGAATTTTCGTGCAATAATAACTGGGGAATACCATCGCTACGTTTGGTTTGCCGTTTAACGTACGAATGCAATCATTTCGGACAAGTACGGCTATCATATGCCAACTGAGTTTTGTAAATAGTACGGCATCTAGCTATAGTCTTTCAACACATATTCCAGATTTTTTGGTATTCACACTTAAATGATTCGTGTTGTGCTGACTAGAAGTGTTTCCTACGTCTCAACAGCTTTCGGGTTTCCTTATTAATTCATGGATAGTAATGTAATAGCTTACGTGTTGAACACGGGGTAAACGGTGATGTTACAGACTCGATGTAGCCTTAAATGTTTTCCATTCGTCTTCGATCGATCCATCCTCATCGATCGGCCAGTTAGTCGAGAAAGCACAGCCTCTGGTTGCCGAAATATTAGCTCACCAGATATTGGGACGGAGTGGAGCAGATTCATATTGAATACCGCGTGTCCGAAATTTAAAGTAAACTACGTGATCACTATTCACTAGTGAGGGAAGGTGCCGGATGTCTATAAGTACATCAAACTAAGGCGAATGGCTACAGCATTAGGGAAGCGTCCGTGCCCGGTTTCACGATGATCA